GGAGGAACACCCTGTATCTTTTGCTAGCCTCAGATTATCAGGGGCAAAAACACGCTATTCAGCAATAGGAAGAAAGTGCCTAACGGTTAAGTGGGGAGTTGAACTCTTCCGATACTATCTGGTAGGGCTGAGTTTTGTATGGCTCACACCCTTCTGAGGTGGTTACAGTCAACAAAAACAGAAAACGCTAGATGTGGTAGGCTACAGCTCTACAGCCATTCTCTTTTTTCATAGAACATTGCCCTGGAAAATTAGACATCATGGCAGATTTCCTATCACAGATGCAGAAGGAAGTGGCGAGGACAACCATCAACCAATAGGACTTTGAAGGCTGTTGTAGAGCACACTGGAAGAGGTGTTTCAGGCCTGTAAAAGACCAGGCCATCACAGTGTGGGGAGGTTTGTAATAGGACACCTGCTATGGTGCCTGTTACTCTGGGGCGGAAAAAGGAACACATCACATGGAGAGGAGAGGAAGAAAACTTAGCCATGTCTGAGCTGCAGTGGGCAAGGTGGGACAGTGCAGAGCACCGGGAACCTGGGTGTTCCCAATCAGGTTCCACCCAGACTCCGGCATAGAACCACGTGAGAGCCAGGCTGGGGAGGATTGGCTCCTGGGGGAGAAGCCAGGAGGTAGAAGGGATACAGATCAGGAGGAGAGACCCAAGGCAGGGGGAGAGGACCACTAGAGCGAGGGGCCACTCCGACTGACAGAGCAGAGACTAGGGCCATGTCATTCCAGAGTGCTGACACAGCCCCGAGCGTGCTTACCAGATGCCAGGAAGCAGCAGAAATGTGCTTGACAAGGAAGACAGCGGCATGAGTGAGTGATGTACCAACACGGGGCTTCTGCAGGAAGAAAAGACAATAGGAGCCAGTTCGTGGAGCAGAGGGAATTGGGTGATTCCTCTCTCCCTCCAAGGGAACCCCATGAAGGCTGGACTCTGTGTGGGGGGATGATAAGTGGTTCAGTGAATGCACGCACGGAGAAGAGTCAGAGGACACTATGACCCAGAAGAGACGAGGGCCAGCCATTAATGCAGCTGTCAAACCACTAGCCACTTATCAGGATAACAGAAGGGCTGTGAAGAGAACCACCTAAAAAAGGCAAGCAGAGGACTGCAAGCCCACTATAGGCAGCATCAGTGAGCTAGTTAAAGGGGTAGCTGAAAGGGTGCAATATTGGGATCAACCAGATCGAGAGGCACAGATGCTGGAACATGACAGGTGTGCATAGGACAGGGTGTAGGGGTTGAAGGTGCCCTGTGAAGAGGCCCACTGTAACGACCCAGATGCTTACCAGGAAGATCACCTCCCACTCTAATTTCCTTCTGCATCTATCTCTTTGCCATCAAGGCGTGGCAGAAAAGTAAAGAAGGACAACATGACTGCAAGCCAAATAGCAACTGTAACACCAAGGGTATCAGCATGATTTCTACATTGGCATTTTTTTAATTTGTATTTCCACCATGCCTTTTCTTCCAAAGTTCTTACAAACTTCTCAAAGCAATTAGCAGATGTTAGTAAATTAAACCTCCCACCAGCCTGTAACAGTCAAATACCATCTCCTCTTTTTTACTACCTAGCAGTTTCAGTTAAGTTCCCAGATTAAGTTCCCCATTTAAATTGTGTTCCAACCAGTAGACTGTACTGCCTTAGGGAATACTAGGAACAGCATGAAGCAGCAGAAGAGAACAGACTTTTAAAAGCAATGGCTTCTATTTCCATTTACTTTAACAATGATGGACTCATGCCAGTTAGGACAATCATGCCCTACCTTTTGGCCCCACAGGACAGATGGGTGGCCTGGAGCCTGCCTGTGGGCCAAATTGGGCCCTGGAGCATGGCACCACCCTCTCTCTGCCCCTCGCACCAGATTTGGGTCCCAGGGGATCAGTGTGGCTTCCTCCTGCTTCCCTGCTCTGGGATGGAGTCCCAGGGGGCTAGTGCCACCCCCTCATACACAACTGGGTTCCAGAGGATTGGAACCTTCCAACCTCTCCTGTCATAATTGGGTCCCAGAGGGTCCAGGACCCCTTCCCCCATCCTTTCCAGCCCTCCACATCAGGACTGGGCCCTGGGGCATGGTAGTGCCCCCACCTGGCCCTGCATGTTGGGATCAGGTGCTGGATTCAGCATGCAGGGCCCAAGGCTTCCCGTGGATATGGAAGTTTGGCAGCAAGGGAGAGGTGCCACCACTCCCCCCACTGCCAAATTCCCAGACATGTGAGCAGCCCCACAGCCAGATGACTTGCAGCTGTGGACTGGATCTGGCCCAGAGGCCAAAAGTTAAGTACCTCTGTTAGGATATTGCCCTCACTACAGTCCCTTAGCTCTGCTTTCTCTGGCATGAAGTATTTCCAGTGTGTCATTGAGCCAACCAGCTTGACATCACTTCCCAGCATTACTGCAGTATTGGACTGGAGGGGACAGTAACATTCTGCAGTTATTCCCAGGTCACTTAAGGGAGAGAAGGTGGGGAATAGCCTGGGGAAAGGACAACAAGAGGCTGGAGGCGGTAGTAGCAGTGTAAAGAGAAAAATTTCAAGAGTAGAAGTGGAAAAGGTTCATGGTAGTTCCCTGCCTGTATTACTGCAGTTTATTCTAGACAATTGGGGCATTTTTATACATACAAGCGCCATAGCACCAGGCACTTTGAAAGGCACCCAGCGCTGCGATGCATACAGTTGTACAGGTGGCAAAATGTGCATCAGCACTGAGAAAATGGTCGTAGGGCACTTTTGAACTAAAACACTTCAGAGGTGCTTTAGTTCAAAAGCACACCAATGCCATTTTCTGCACACTGGCGCACATTTTGCCACTTATACAACTGCACATGGCACAGCGCAGTTTGCCTTTGCTCGTGTGTGGAGCAGACTCGATTAATCGATTAATTGAGTCTGCTCCAAAGCATTGGGACAGAAAAGTATGTGCGTAAATGCCCATGGAAGAAAACAGCATTATCAAACCACTCTATTGCAATGGATCTTTCAGAGTTGTAACCTTGTTCAGCAGTTAGATAAAAGCATGACATTACATTAGATCTGATGAGTGCTGGCAGATTAGAGAGACTTTGTAGAAATGTGTCAGTTTTTGATAAAAGATTTGGTAGTGAAGGCTCCTTGAGTTAAGAATGGAAAGTTTGTTTTGAAACTTCCAAAATATGTGTGTATATACAACAGGCCTTAAAATATCAATGAAACAGACTTTAAAAATATTAATGAAAAAAACAGAGGGAAGTAGTATGTATATCATAAACTGACATTCTTATTTTCCATCTAGGCTTATTCAGCAGAACCAAACTACAGGGTAACTATAATATAATAACTGGCTGTCCCCTTATACTAATTTGCTGGTGAGGAATGGGCCTGAAAGCAAATTTCCATACTCTGGGGTGTTTGCCAAGAAGTTGAGAAAGGAATGCTGAATAGAACACACCCAGACTTTTCAGTACTTTGACCTCAACCTCCTGAAATCTAGTTATCTTATTGCTTATTATGTGACCAAGACATAGAGAATAACACAAAGCTTTTAGAGAGTTAATATAAGTATTATATTGTGTACAAAGGGAAAAACATTCTTGACTCCAGGCTTAAGGACTAATTCTACTTCTTGAGCCCTATCAGGGGTTACTAGTGATTGGAAAAAGGTGACAGCCCTTAATGGACAGCCCTTACTTACAAATGGACTTACCCAAGCCCAGTATGGAATAACGTTTGAAGGACATCTTTTTTATTGAGACAATTTCTGCATTCTTACAAAAAGAAAATCAGACCCTTCTAATGTGAGGGAGAGGGTTCTAGGAAATGTGTAAGTTATTCTTTAGTAATAAGAGCAATGCAAAAGGATCTGGACTCAACCATGCCATATACTCCCTTCACAAACTGTTCTTCTACCCCATTAATCCTAGTGGGAGCTATTCCAGAACCTCATCCCTCTGATTCTGTGAAGTCCCCTGGATTTTTGAAACCTAAATACACAATTTTGATTGTGATGTCAAACTAACCTTTGAATGGATGCTAGAGTCTCATTTAACAGTGGCCCAGGCAGTCAAGGTTCCAGTGCATTTAATATATTGAATATTCTTTACAGTTTTTGTTTAAAAATGGACTTGAGGCCAAACTCTTAAACAGTGTAAATAAGTATTGTTCAAGCAGTCAGAGTTAATATACTGATTGGAATTAGCTGAAGAGCTGGCTTCTCTTACCTTCATTCCATAATAGTATTAAGAGTTTAATTTTAAATTAAATGTGAAATTGTCAAATAATTCCAAATTGAAAAAGGTATAACCTGACTAGTGCCCAACCTAGTCCACACTATTAAAATTGACTTTTGCAGAATTTATTTCCCATTTAATCCTTTTAACTGGGCTGTATAAAATAACAAATTGGAAAAGTCTGATGAATTAATGAAGTATTGATAGATAAAAGATGAATTTCTGATGCTCAGCCATAAACATCCACATCTGGGAGAGAAATTATAAAGATTTCCAGAAACATAAGAAAGAAAAGGATAAAAACATAAGGATAAAAACAGACATAATTAGGTTTCCTCACCATAGTCTTATAGGTGTGGACATAATAAGAAAGGGCTTCAGTTAATGTTTCCTCTAGTAACTACACATGTGAAAATGATTAATATCCAGTCGCAATAAAGAAAGTCCCCAAAAATCAAGGACCCCAGAGTTTTGACTCCTCCTGTTTCTTCATGCTGGTTTGTAGCAGTTAAAAGGGCAGAGCTTCAGCTCACATAAAACTGTTTAGCAGTGTAGATTTACAGCAGTTAAAGCTCCAAGGCCTATATGCTTTTGTTGTTGTTGAATTTTTTTTTGGCTTTCACGTGGTTTAGGCACATTTTTATTTTGTATTTATTTCTAAAACTTGAAATAAAGCTGCACTTCTATTTCCGTGTTTTTCTTTGGACTATTTTAACTTATGCAAAACACAAATGATTTCTGTCTTTGGTTTATGTTAATCCACTCTGTTTTTTGTTTTTTGCAGCTATATAAAAATCTCTGGAGTGCAGTCTTGCAAGGCAGCGAAGTCCTGCAGAGACCATCATGGTGGGCAGAATTTTGTACCAATAAGCCCATTGTAGGCAGGCTGAGATCAAGACTATAATTCAAATAAGCTGTTAAAATGGCCTAAGAAGGGATAACCTAAATGAAACATTTTGAAAGGTTGCAAATGAGGGTTTTTGTATTAAGATGTCAAGAACTGGAATAACTTTGAAATCAAATCCAGCTTGGTTTCAAGGACTGTTGAAATCATAATGGCAGGATTATTTCAGCACTTCCGCATAGTTTTGCTATTAATCAGTCAAAAAGCTCCATTCATATTACTTGCTTATCACAACTTTAAAATATATGTTCAATAAGTGCAGATTAATTATTACTTCTGTCATCATTACTGATCAGAATCTTCCAATCCTGTAAATATTGGCATGCTGAAGACTTTGACCATCCAAATAATTGTGCTATTTCAAGCCATAAATGCATGTTTCTCAACCAGGACACTGTAAGATTCAATTAAGGGTGACATGGGGCACCACACAATGTTACTGTTACTTTGACTGAATTCTGTGCAACAGAAGAATTGCTCTTACCATATTTACCAAAATCCAAGATGACACCCAATAGCTAGATTCTGTATAGTATAAGGAAAATTTATAAACTTATAATGTTCAACATCTAGAATCCAGTTATTGGAAAGTCATCTTCAGTTCATCTCCCACCACTACAGTTGCACAAGCAGTGGTAAGGGGCAAGTAAGAGAGAAGTCAAGTGTCTCACCCCTGCCTCTTGACCCTACCCCCTGCACCTTGTCCCCCCTGCTGCCTTTTCCCACCACCACTTGTCCCCCCCTGCTGGTTTCCCCACCACCACCACCATCTGCCCTTCCTGCTATTTTCTCTCCATGCCTGTGCCCCCCTGGTACCTACCCCCCCCTGCAGTGCTTGCACCCATTAACAGCTGACCCCCCACCACCACCACTTGCCCTCTTTCCACCTCCCCCCTTCCACCACTGCCTTTGCAACTTTTCCTTCTGCTGCTGCTTCTACCCCTTCCCCAGCTCCATCCTTGCTCTAGCCTGGGACATGGGGCACACAGTCACTCTGGCTCCTGCCCAACCATACAGCAGTGGTTGCAGCAGCACCAGCTCTGACCCTGGAGGAAGAGGCTGTGGAGGAAGATGTGACTGTGGGTTGGGGGGCAGTTGGGAAGCAGCTGCAGCTTGAACCCCAAGGCTGGAGTTGGAGCAACAACAGCTGCCTGACCCTCTACTCTGTGTGTGAGAGGGAAGGCAAAAGCCCCCCCAACGCATCCCAAACTCTTGCCCAACGTGCCCCACTACTCACCATAGGAGTTAGAATGAGCAGCAGCCAAAAGGAAGTTGGCAGTTCTGCAGCTGCCTGAGCCTGCATATTAGTGAACACTGGAGGCGTGGCTCCCGAGAAGTGTGGGCTGCTCAAAAGGCAGCCAGAGATCCAGCTGCGCCGGTGCCAGGGAGCAGGAAGTAGAACACTACCCAGGAGACGCCAGCTGCGGAGCCAGAATGCTCAAACCCTGGATGCCAGAGGAAGGAGCTGGGTGCCTGCCGAAGGGCCCAGACAGGCAAGAAAGCAGCCTTGGGAGCCAACAGGGGCAAGGGAGCCCCAACAGGGAGCAGCAGCAGCCTCCTGGGATGCTGCAGGGGAACAGTAGGGCTCTGACTGGGAGCTCAGATGCCATGGCCGGGGACAGCCCCTCAAGACCACAGACATCCCTGGGCAGCCCTGCAGCAAGCAGAGCACGGGGGATCACAGACCCCCGGGAGGGGGAAGTGAATGACGCTGGCTGACTGGTGGGACCAGGACAGCTTGACCACAGGTCAGCCGGGCCCCAGGGAGGTCATGCCGGAAGAGCCGGCAGAGACGGCACAGGGCGGTTGTCTATCCCCAAGCCTACTAGGATACAAGGGCTGGGCGAGTCCCTGCAAGGAACCAATGCCAGTCATTTTTCAGTTAAGTTTTCTTTAGTTACAGTCTAGCTCTGGACGGGGCAGGTTTAATTGCCTGGGGTGAGGGGAGCTGACCCAAAGATGAGGGATGGACCGGAAAAGACTGACAGCCAGGAAGACCCAACCCTTTTGAGGCGAGCAGTGTGGATGAGGTGAAATCATCCAGGGGAATACCTGCGGTGAGCAGTATCTACCCAGGCCGAGGACATAGTAAGGGCGGGGTAAAGGGAAGGTTTGGAGCCCCATGAAGACAGCCCAGGGCCGAGACCCCCTTGGGCCACCTACAGGGAACTGCCTCCCCAACAATGAACATCAAAGACGTGGCAGGAAACAATGGGCAGCACCCGAAACATCTAGGTGGCATCAAAACCTGATCTCACCCTGAGGTCACTGGGGGGCAAAGCACCGACCAAAAGGGGCCAAAACCTTATAACACCTACAAGCAACACTGTACTTTAAAACAAGGAACTTCCCCACGTGCTGTATTAGATGGGGAAAAAAACTCATCTTGGTTTTGAATAAATATGGTATATTTCTAAAATCCAAAAGTCAAAAAATGAGTGAAAGGTAAGAGCTCGTGTTTTCGAAGGGGTGTCACGAGTCTAACAAGGGGTATTTTGAGTCTAATAAGGTTGACAACCACTAACAGACAGCTAGACCACCATAAACTTACCAAGCTAGTGGAGGAAACAAAGGAGAACTTTAAAAAAAGGAGAAGATCACTATTAGGGGTAAACTATTATAGTATCATTGTTCCAACTAAAGTGGCCCTTTTGAGACCCATGAAGCTACTCTGATTTATGCTATCTTGTTCACAGTGTTTAAAGGATGTGATTGTTCTTTCAGTACAAATGAAGAAATAAGTTGTTTTTCATTTTGAGATTTTTGATTGATCCTTTAAGTTTTATGTCTCCCTGCAAATAGTTAATTCAAAGCATCTTGTTCACTTGTGTGATGTGTGCCCACTCACACTTGAAACTACTGTATATTTTCATTAGTGATTATAATAGTATTGCCACCCTCCCACCTCCCCACCCCCAGTATAATGTCAACTTTTAAGTTTAATAGGCCAAAATCTGACCTTATATAATTCAGTGTCTGTTGAAACTGTGCCTCTTGCTTCAAAGCTGATTGGGCAACTAACTGGTAAATAGATTTTTATAAATAAACAGTGTTTTATGGTGATATTGTAATTATTAGGTCTGTAACAAAGTAGAAAGATAATTCATATAACTGAAAGAGATCAATTTTTATGTATGTTTAATAAATATTCCCTAAGGTATGAATATTTTCGTTTGCGTATTGAGGGAAGTTAACATAATTTTTTTAATAACAGATGATGATATATATTTTAAATAAAATTCAGGTTAAATGCCTGCTTTCCTTTCCTGTATCATTTTTCCATTACTCTGAATGGATCTAACATAAAATCCTCCTCGCTTTACTTGAATGAACATACCCTTTCAAGCCAAAGAAACTATTTATGTTAGAAATGTTTTGTTAGATGAGTAAGACTCAAGGCTAGAATCTTTACTATTAGAAAGGGAAACAGGATCACACCCTTGGATTTTTTTGCATTATTGCCATTCCATTAGATGTTTCTCATGCCAGTGTATACATCTTTATTGTCTGGTACTTTTATTAATCAAGTAGATTTAACGTTTCATTAAAATGAAAACATGAAAAATATCCACTGAAAATGCATTTGATTTTTAACAGCAAGCATCAGAATCCTTTCCCAAAGCTTCATTTTCCTTTCTAGTTCTGTGGCAAAATATCTGAGCTTACTCTTTCCTAGCCCTGCTTTTTCTTTATCCCTTCTTTCATCTTTTTCTAATGGATTACCTTTATTCTGCATATCTGATAGAAACCTTTTTAAGAATTTAGATGCTCCTAGCATTTAAACACACTCTTGTATATTATTCTTTTCTTTGAGTTGCTTCACCTCATTATTTCTAAAAATATCCAGTTGATGGCATTATTTTATGGAGAAAATTATAACTGTTACAATTAATCAGAAATAAAATAACCATATTAAGATTTGATCTTTGTCCCACATGCACAGAAAACTGGGACTCCAGCAATTGTATTGCCATTTTTACTAGCATCCAGGACAAGTTTTTTCCCCCATTCAAAATGAGGGGAGGGATGGAGGCTGGCCCTCTATCCCACATCCATTTACCTTCCACTACCTCTGTACCCCATCCCCCCAACTCCTGCCTCAGGAATACCCTGTCAACATTTACTCTCTGGCTCCTGCTCCACCACATGGCACAGAGCATGTCATTGCTCCAACCCCTGCACAGCCATGACACAACAGCAGTGGTGGTGGCAGCTCTGGTCCTGGGTCCAAGGCTGGGGTTTGAGGTGCCATCACTGCAAGGTGCTGGGACATGCAGGCACTGAGGGAGAAGGCCAAATGGGGGGCTAGTGATGGTAGGAACAGGCAACAAGTGGAAAGTGTCAGGCCACTAGCCTCCCTTGCTGCCTGTTCCCTGGCTGCTTAACCCCTGCCCACACCCGCCGGCCATTTGCTCTGTTGCAGCAGTGGGGGGGCATAAATTTAAGATAGCACACCAATAATTAAAATCTACACGTAGAAAATTATAACAGCTTTATAAATTTCCGTGAATAGAATCTAATTATTGGGGGAGTTACCTTCAAATCAAAGTTACCTTGGATTTTGGTGAATATGGTATTTGTGTTTTTAAAAGATGTTTTAACTTTAAATATACACATGATTTGGCCGTTGGTGTAGAACCAACAGCAGGGTTCATACTATGTTCCTCCTACATTAAAAACTACATATTGGAAAGAGTAGTAAGCTTGTTCCACATCCCTGTTCATCTCATTAATTTGGTTTGCATGCTTGGCTTCTGTGAGAGGAAGGTGGGGAGAAATGGATACATCAAACTTTGCTGTTGTCAGATGTGGCCTGCAAAGGTCCATCATGGTCTCCTGGCTCTTGGTCTGGGTGTTGCTACAGGCTTTTGGTGCTTGGTGCTGGCTGAGCCGCTGCTTCCTGCCCTGTGCCTGGGGGTGAAGAAGTGCAACCCAGGGTTGAGGGGACAGGGGCCCCTGTGCAGCATGGGGGTGCCCATGCAGCATGGCTCAGTGTAGCAGGCAACCCCATATGGTACAATGAGGATGGTGGCCTTGGTAGGGGGGTGCCTACTGTGTTGGGAGAAGGAGGGGTCATGCCACACAGCCTGCAGCTCTTGACCACATTCATCTCAGGAGATGTGCACCCACAGACTACTCATATATGTGACATCCCTGTTCTACCGCACAATGTTCCCAGAGAAGTTCACCAGTAGTCTGCCTCAGTGCTTCCTATCCCATACTCAGCAATAGGTCATTAGTATGGTTAATTGAACTGAATCAGTATGTTGTGTCACTCTGTTGTCCCC